TTTTTTTTTTTTTTTCTCACTATACTCCTTTTTGTGCTTTGGTGTTTACGTCTTCTTCTTCCACAGTTCCCGTTGCCTCTTATTCATATTCTTATAATGAACTCTATCTAACTATCTATGTATATATACATATATACATATAGACCTGAAAGAGAAGAGAGAAAGAGAGAAACGAACTATCAATACGTGATGTTCAAAGACAAACAACAACAAAGATATTTGGGGGAAGAAGAAGAAGAAGAAGAAAAAGGAAGTAAACAGTAGAAGAAGAACAGAAAAAATAAAAAGAGGAAGAATAAGGAGTGTGTGTGTATTATATATAAAAGTATAAGAAGTCGAAGCTAAGAGCATTATTGTGTATGTATAATTTTTTTTAAAAAATTAGAGAAGGAAACAAAAATTTTTTAAATTGGAAAAAAAAAAAAATAAGTGGCGTAAATGAGTGAATAGATGAATGGATAGACACAGGCGCCCCTTTTTACTCAGATAAGTAGTGAATTAATGAGAAGAAGAACAACAAGAAAAAGAACGAGAAAAAAAAAAAAGAATTGGAATATTCAGTATTCTCCAGTGTGCATTTCCGACGAATAAGGAAAATAATAAAAAAAGAAAAAGAATAAACGTAAGTGCATGCAGACCGCACAAAAAGCAAAAAGAAAAAAAAAACGGATTAAGAAGTACTACTAATGAGGTCTAAAAAAAAAAAGAAAAGAAAGGAGAAAAAAGTAATTGATGGAGTTGAACCTGAACAATGCATTTTGATATGATATATATATATATGACAGATGAATATCTGTTTTTAAAAAATAAATATCTTGTTTATTGTATGATTTCTTTTGTTTATATATATATATATATTTTTTCTTTCTTTCTTCTTTGAAAATGTTTTTCTTTTCTTCTGTTTTTCCTTCACATTGAGGGATCTTTCTTTTCTTGTGTGACTTCATATATATAAATATATATATATATATATATATATGTATATGTATAAACAATAGAAGAAAAAAAAAAGACAAATAAAAAGGTGAATTTCCCAACATTCTGCTGACTGTGTGAAGGGAAAAAAGAGGGATTTTATTTGAATGTCTCACTTCGGCGATGAAACCAACACGCGTGATTTCAGCAGGCGAAAATCATTCACAATGAAAGAAAAATATAATTTCTCATTTTTTTCTTTTTTATCATCACCGTATTCCGCTGCGTATAATGACTCAACATTCTCTTCAACATTCGCATCTGCACTACTGGAACATGCACGTAAAGTATTTCTACGACTCGTGCATTCCCCCGCCGTGATGCAATTAATGCTTAACCATCGAAGTATTGCAACTGAAATGGAAACCAGCGCCTATCAATTAAATCAATTAGAAGATATCATGTTGTTACTACAATCTATTAAAAATACAAAAGAAGGTACAGGAGTGATTCCCCATGTACCACCATATATTTCTAATATGCTTACATTGATTTCCTCTTCCAGTACAGATGTAAATTTTATCATGGGAGATGAATTACTCTGTTGGCTGCAATTTCTACTCTGGACACGTTATCTCGCTATATTTTTAATGCGACGATTGGCTGCTATTCATGATAAGATTGCCTCTTATCTCTTATACTGGTCTTGGGCAGAGATTCACTATACACAGTCTTCCTTTCATCTGGCTGTTAGTTATAGATGGTGGAAGTGGTGGTGGCGTGGTCTCTTTCGTAGAGGATGGACTGGACAAGAACAATGTTTACGTTCAAACATTATTACTCATAAATCTCTTTTGCTTCGATATTTACGTGTTGTTGTGCGAAGTCTGGGAGCTTTATATGGTTTAGTGGATCACATGAATGCTTATGTGGCTTCCATGGCGGATATGGCGGCAGATGTTTACATGTCGAATGCCGATTCGGAGACGGCGGTATCTCGACCAGCACTGGGATCTCCCTTAACAGATCATCAATTGGTGGAAGAACGACTCTTACGTAATATAAGAGCGGTTGTGGCTTCATCGGTTTCTCAACTTTCAAACATTATTAGATTACCGACAGTTCCCTTATCGGATGTTAGTTTTTCTAATCCTTGTGGAGATATACCATTTCTCTTTTCACATGCGGGTGATTCTCTTTTCTTTGATGTTGGTCCAAAGCCCGCTGGTGAGAATGCAACACATCTTCAAATGTTTACAACAGCAACCTTAACGGACACTCTTCAACTTCTCACAGAGACGGCAGAGTTGGCTTGTGAGCATACAACTTCACTGCAAGAGAGTATTCAGATAAATCACATACCACCCTCTCCCATACGTTGGCGACGTTTACTTTTTATTGGCTGTACAATTCCTGCACTTGTATGGATGTACGGTAAATCTATGGAAGAATTACGTCGAACAGCAGCCACAGCACGTGGAGTTTTCCGCGGAATGTTGGAGAATTACGTTGTCATTCCTCTTCGTGAGATTAGAAGAAGTCTCTTTGGGGGTCGTCCAGGTGTGGTGGAGCGACGACGAACATTAGAGATGGAAATGGCATCTGTTGCGAATATTATCCGCGATTATCATGAAGATTATTATCCCAACAGCAGCGAAGCGGAACTGCGGGAACTGCGGGAAAATACATTTGCACATCTTCGAACAGGTGTGGTGGCGGATGATGCGGGTTTCGCACTTATTAACAGACATTATGAAGCAGCTCTACGCCATCCATTTCGTAGTGCTCTCTTTGGAAACTTGTTGCGATTGATGCTTATTCAACTCACCTATCAACAGTTGGAGGTGATGCGAGTTGTGAATGGGACGGATGAAGTGTTGGAGGGAAATGATCTCAACTTTAAGTTTATGGCGATGGTGCCACTCTGCGCTCTGCTGGGCGGTGTGATGCTTATTGCTCTGCAGAAGCGTCGGGCAAAACTGCGGCCTGTCAATCGTCAACTCAAACTTTATTGGCGTGCGGTCCATCGTGTCGTCACTGTCCCTCTGGAGACGATGGAGGAATTACATCCACTCCCTTCCGCTGCCTTTACGGTTGGAGATACCGCCGATGTGCAGTCGAGTGTTTCTAAAAACCCTGACGCTGTACATACAATGGAAACACGTGTTGGCACAAAGTTAAATAGTTACGATCAGGGTATGTTGTTGCTACTCACACATCATATGCGAAGACTTGCGATGGAGTACCACACCGGGTATCGTCACCTGCGAGAGTTTCTTGAGGATCTTGATGATCTCGAGAGTGTGCAATGTTCACGGCAGCAGAGACTATTAACATTAGACAGAATGCAGCGAATTCATAGATTCTTGTCGTAACGGAGTGAATATATATACACACACCATATTATTACTATTATTATTATTATTATTATTATTATTATTATTATTATTATTATTATTATTATTATTATTTCTGGTTTGTGGTATTCTATTGTGTGGGAGAGAAGTACTGTAAACCAATCGAGTTCTGGGAACGAAGGATCAAAGAGGGATCAATTAACAGATTAAAAAGAGAGAGAGAGAGAGAGAGAGAGAGAGAGAAAGAAATGAAATGTTCGTATATATACTCTCCACGTGAGAATATATGATGTGTTTGTATTTTTTTTTTTTTTTGTTTTTTGTTTTCGGTGCGTATGTGTTCTGATTGGAGGTAGTTAAAAAATAATTAATCACCAACGCCTTTTTGTATAAACAATGTGATTACAGAGGCTCTTTTTTTTTTTTCTTTTTTCTTTTTTCTTTTTTCTTTTACGCTTTGGAGTACTTGGAAGAAGATCTTTGGTAAATGTAATATAGTGTTACTAATTCTGTTTTCATTTATTCCTCTTTTTCTTTTTCATTTCTGTTTGAAACTGCCATTTCACCTCCTCTTTTCCTATTCAGCTGCAGTGAGGCCAAAAAAGACATTTAGGGAAGTAAATAATAAACGAGGGGAAAGAAAATAAAACAAAAAAAATAAAATAAAAATAAAAAAATAAAAAATGACCGTGCGAAAAGCAAAGAAGTCCACCACAAAAAAACCTGCAGAGGCCTCTTCTGCTCTTTCAAAGGCGGCAACTCATGTAGTGAAGGAGGAAACAGAACGGGCCTCACTGTTGGAGTGGCTTGATAAGAATGATCCACTGTATGATCGCTCAGGGGCTCCACCTATTACAATCAGTGAGTTGCTCTCATCTAAACTTATTCACAAAACATTTAAAAAGGCCGGTATGGATGAAATGCCGTATGATTGGTCTAAACTCCGTGGTGTTTTAGAAGCCAGAACCTCCAAGAGTCCTCGCTGGTTTATGCAACTGCGTGAGGAAGATCTTCTAGCCGATGATGGGTTTGAAGGTGTAACGGTGGATTGTGTGGTGATTGCAGAAGCCAGTTTGCCTACACTTGCCCCAGCCCATTACATTGTTAAGATGCATTTACCATACAGTGATTTGGAAGATAATGCACCCGAGCGTATTTTACCAATTGAAGGACAAAATATGTGTTGGCGCCGTGTGGTACGAGATGATGGAACAGATATTAATGCCTATCTCTTACAGAAGAGAGAATCCGCTTCGGCTGGAATATCTTTTGGGTTTGGAACCTCTACAACAACAACAACTACCTCTACTACAGTTGCCCCAACCACTAATACAAATACTGCTAATACAAATGCTAATACTAATACTGCAGGTAATGGATTTGGGTTTGGCTTTGGTACTACTACGACCACACCATCCTCAACAGCGGGTGAGGCAAACACAATGGCATTTGGATTTGGCACCACTGCGCCATCCTCAACAAATACCGCTTCCACCACAGCAGCACCTGCCAATAGTTTTAGTTTTGGCTTTGGAGCCGCCCCAACGACATCCAGCAGTTCAACTGCAGCAGGGAATACCAATTCATTTGGTTTTGGCACCACTACGCCAGGGACAGTACCTGCCGGAACAACAACAACAACAGCAACAACAACAACTGGTAACTTTAATTCAACTTCATCTTCACAGCCAGTGGCATCACTTAAACCAAGTGAGGTACTTTTTGCGCTTTGGTCAAAGAAACGTCTGGTCGATATGGTCAAGTCTTTCAAATCTGGCAGCCGTATTGTACGAGAAGATTTTAAACCAACCCCAACATCTCAAAGTATTAAACTGGTCATGCAAAATGATGTTAAGGATGATGTTCACAAGACGGTGAAACAGTTAATTCTTAACAAGATGTTTGCAAAACATTGTGATAAGATTTTAGCTGTGGATCGTTGGATGGATAACTGTCCTGTATATGAAGAACGCCTCTGTACCGCCATGCAGAAGTTCCGCGCTAATTATGTACAAGAAGTTGCGGAGGATTCCGAGCAGTTTCAGACACTTTATAAAGAATGTCATGAAGCCATGGAAGCAGAACTGAACCGCATTGTTGAGATACGCAAGAAAATTGTAGAAAAAGAATTACAGACTATTGAAGAGATAACAGAACTATTGAAGGAGAAGAAGATTGCTGAGAAAAATACTTTTCGCCTTTTAAAATATTATGCAGCGAATGATATTATGCGGTTTCGACCATTTGGTAAAGTCAGTGGTATTTCAGAGATGGGAGAAAGTGCAGATGTTTGCGAGCCTCCTGCACCTGTATTGGTAAATCCTTTCGCAGCAAAATAACTCTCTTCATATAATGAAAACCTCATTTCTTCCCATTTCTTTTTTCTTTCTCTTTTTTTTCTTGGGGGATGTCTTTATTTGTATGTGAGCCTCTTTTGTTCCTCTACATCTTTCTTTCTCTTTATCTTTTTCTGTGTGTGTGTGTGTATGCCTGTATCGTGAATTTTTGTGTTACTTCTTTCTCAGTTCAAATATACGGTGAAGTTAATAACCTGTTGCATGCATCTGTGTATACATTCACATATGTAAGGGTGGATTGTGAGTAACATTGAAGTCAATAGAGAACATGATAAAGAGCAAGTGGAGATAAAATTAAGAAGAAAAAAAAAAAACAAGCAAACAGACCGTTTATTAGGTGACATTGATAGAAGAGGTGCAAGAGGAATAGAAAATGAAAAATAAAAAAAATGAAAAAAAAAGAAGAAAAAGAAAACAATCAAAGAATAAAATCTCATTCTATGAAAGATTACTGATATGGTAATTTAAGACCGATGAGATGCTGAAAGAATGAAAGAAAGTCTTTTTTCTCAATTAGACTCTATGCTTGTACCATGATCCTATTCTCATTTCTTTTTTTTTTTCTGTTTTTTTTTCCTGTACTTTTCCTTATCGGGAAGCACCAAAACGTTGTACTCAGACGCAATGTGCAGATATACCTATCTTCATATGAGAGCAATATAAGGAGTGGGTGAGAGGGGAGGGAAAAAAAAAAATGATACATGTTGTTAATATTTAAAAATAATGAAAAGTAAATATAAAGAGAATAATAAATAATTAACAGAAATATCTAGGAACGATGAGGTTGTTGTGTTTTCCTTTATTATTGTTATTGTTATTATTATTATTATTATTATTATTATTATTATTATTATTATTATTATTATTATTACTGTTATTATTACTATTATTATGATCCCGTATTCCTCTTTTCTTGTTTATGATATGCCCTAATGTTAAATAGTGCGTCTGGTTTTTTTTTTTTTTGTTTTCTATTGTGCACGCCATGTTCCTTATATTGCTGCCTTCTTCTTTGAGACTAAATGCTCCAATTACCAGTTGGAATCTTTGGAGAACGTCTTCTCTTTTCCTCTCTTTCTGTTACACTAACATCGATAATAATCATAAATATATATTATACCTTCCCTATGTAGGTGTATATAAAAAGAAAAAAAAATAGTGATGGGTCAAGACAAAAGTAAGGGTGAAAACCCATTAAATAACATTCGGGGACTTCAGATAGCGCGTGTTTTACCACGCAGCCCTGCCCATGCTGCTGGTCTAGTACCCTTCTTTGACATTATAACGGCTGTTGAACAAGTGGAGATTGTGGACCCTTTCACGGCGTCTGAGCAGTTCAAGCTGTACATCTCGCAGCGGGAGAATCAGCGGGTGTGTTTCCGCGTGTACAATCTGCGGATCCGTGCGTACCGCGATGTGTGGTGTGTGCCGAGCCGGACGTGGGGCGGCGGCGGGATGCTCGGCTGCAGCATCGAGTGGGCGGAGGGCGCCGGCTGCGGGGAGCGGAGTTGGCACGTCGTGGAGGTCCTCGCGGGCGGGCCGGCGGCGCGGGGGGGTTTGGTGGCCGGGCGGGACTACGTGATTGGGATGCAGCGGGCCGAGGAGCCGCTCGTGACGCTCCTGCGGGATGAGGAGGACCTCCACAACCGCCTCGGGCTCTGGCGGGGCCTCCAGCGGGCCGCCCTCCAGCGCCTCCACCGCCGCCGCGGCCTCTCGCCCCCCGCCGCCGCCGCCGCCGCGCCTCCCCAACCGCGCGACGAGGACGTGTGGGTCGGGCGGCTCGTGGTGCTGGTGTATGATGCGGCCGCGAATGAGGTGCGGGAGGCGGTGCTCGAATTCGGCGAGGATGTCGACGCCCCGCTCGGGATGAATCTCGCCTCAGAACTGCTGCACTCCCTCCTCATCACAGGCGATACAAACATCATCGCAGAAACAGAGGAAAATGGCACACAAGAGGAGAAGGAGGACAACTGTGGTGGGAATAATAGTAATAATAGTATTAGTAGTAGTAGTAGTAGTAGTAGTAGTAGTAGTAGTAAAGTAAAGAACAGGAGCGGAGCTAGTAAGGGACTACCAGTGATGACGACTTTCCTGACACCATCAGGAACTATAGAGAGACTAGAGAGATACTCACAAGATGCTCCCATAGCGTTAGTAGAAGAAGAAGTGATCCATACGGAGCAAGATAATCTCACACAACCTGCAATCCCTCAATCGATACCAACGACATATACAACACCAATGCCTTCTGTACAAAACGCTTTTCCACAACAATCGCTTTCGCAGTTGCAGGCGAGGGAAACACAACCACAGGATTTCCCAAAGGTAGTAGTAGAAACAGAACCTACTGTTCAAACTAAAATTTCAAATGGAATTCAAGGACTTCGTATGCCCCCACCAATTCCTTTTACGGATCGATCAACTATACCAATTATTTCACGGAGTCGCCCTACCACTACGTCTGGTGTCGTTGACGTACATCAACCACATCTACAGCCACAAGAAGTACATCAACAATCTCCAACATTGACACAACAACAACAACATCTGAATCCATACACACAGTCAAACGTAGTGACAGCAATGGGATCACCACCGACTTCGTACCGACAGGAGCCACAACCACAACAGGTTGCTGCCAAGGCCAGTTTCAGTAACAAGGAAGAAAATAGTTCTGTCGCCCAGAATACATCAGGAGGTATACACTCTGCCTTTAACCCAACTGCCCAGTCTTCGCTGGGTCCCCCAAAGTTACCCCCACCGCTTCATTTTCCGATCATACGTCCACAATCACCAACGAAATAAGGGATTTTTTTTTTTTTTTTGCATTGGCGTGGTCATGCATCTATTTGTAAGCAAGAAAGAACCATTTCTTTTCCCTTCCCATTTGGAGCGAATCAAAATCAAAAGGTAAAGGAAGAAATGAAAAATACTATGAAACTGTGCTCTATTATGAATTATTTACTTTTTTTTTTAATGCCTTTTCTTTTCCCCCTTCTTCTTTCTTGCTTCTTATTTTTTAAAATGATTTTCCTTGTAGAATTACTGCAAAAAAAAAAAAAAATAACTTTTTTTCTCTTTATTATTTACTCGTTTTTTTTTTTTTTTTCTTAATCTTCCACGTGCTTACAGGTTAATAAAAGGCGCATACATACGCATATTTCAACCAGGGTAAAAGAAAAAAAAAGAAAGAAAGGAAAAAAAAAAAAAAAAAGAAACCGAAAGAGTATATATTTATCTAATATATACGTCTAAAAAAAAAAGAAAGGAAAAAGTAAACCCACAGATTTTTTTTTCTTTTTTTGATATTTCACACATCTATTTAAAACAATTAAATAATGAAGCGTGTTTATCAACGACTGTCTAGGGAGGCTTTGTGCCGAAGTTCCCCATCGAGTCGTATGGTCTTCGCTATGGCCATCAATGCCCTTGCTGTTTCTCCTGCCAGAAATAGCAATGCTGCACTTTCAACTGCGATGCGCTTTTCTTCCACAACCACCGCTGAAAGTGCAACAACCAAACCAGCAGACATTACGGATGAGGACGTTGTTATTGACCCTGTACCCGGAGCAAAGGATGGAGCCGCAGACACTGGTGCTTCTGCAGATGCTACTGCATCAACTACCACAAAGAGTAATGAAGACGCCGAACGAGTGGTTGGAAATGCAGAAGAAATGGGATTTAAGACAGAGACACGACAACTACTGGATATTGTTGCCTGTAGTTTATACAGTGAGAAGGAGGTCTTTATTCGTGAATTGGTATCCAATGCCAGTGACGCTTTGGAAAAACGTCACCTGATGGAAATCAGTAAAGGAGAAGAATTCCCACGAGAGGAAAGTGATGAAGCCCCTCTTATTGCTATTTCATGCAATCAGAGTAAGAGTCGTTTTGTTATTCGTGATACTGGTATTGGTATGACGAAAGAAGAACTCGCAGAAAATCTTGGTACAATTGCTGGTTCTGGATCTAAGGCCTTTGTACGAGAACTTCAAAGCGGTAATGGTGGAAGTCAAGCGGCGGAAAAAATTATTGGTCAATTCGGTGTAGGATTCTACGCTGCTTTTATGGTGGCTAAGAATGTTAAGGTATACAGCCGAAGTGCGAAAAAAGGCAGTAAGGGTTATGTTTGGGAATCTGATGGTACAGGTACTTTCAAAATTGCCGAATGTGAAGGTGTGGATAAGGGAACTAAGATTGTACTTGATATTAAAGATACTGAACTTTCTTTCTGTACTCCACAGGTATGTGAACGTGTATTAAAGAAGTACAGTAACTTTGTCTCATATGAAATTACTCTTAATGGAGGGAAGGTGAATACAGTGGAGGCTTTATGGATGAAGGATAAGAATTCCATCACAAATGAAGAACATATTGATTTCTATAAATTTATCTCTGGTGCATATGACAGTCCAATGTTCCGTTTACATTATGCTGTGGATGCCCCAATGTCTATTCGTGCCTTACTTTATGTACCTCAATCACATACAGAAAAGTACGGTGGAGGACGTATGGAAAGTGGAGTAAACCTTTACTCCCGTCGTGTACTAATTCAATCCAAATGTAAAGGACTTCTTCCAGAGTGGTTACGCTTTATTAAAGGTGCTGTGGACTCAGAATCTATTCCTCTTAATGTATCTCGTGAGCATACACAAGATGGAAGTATGATGCGACGTCTCTCTACAGTTTTAACGAAGCGTATTATTCGTTGGTTTGAAGAGGAATCCAAGCAAGATCGCCAAAAGTATGAAAGGTTTATTAAAGAATATGGACCTTTTTTGAAAGAAGGTGTTTGTACAGATCAAGTACATAAAATGGATCTTGCAAAACTTCTTCGTTTTGAGACTACAAAATCTGATATTGATTACCCATACGTTTCTCTTGATGAATACCGTGATCGCATGCAGGCCAATCAAACCCATATTTATTACATTAATGCCCCTACGAAAGAGATGGCATTGGAATCTCCATACTATGAACAATACAGGGAACATGATCTTGAAGTACTTGTATGCACAGAACCTATTGATGATTTTGTGATGCAACACCTTGACACATATGCCAAACACAAACTTCAGAATATTGAAATGTTTGATGCTGCTCTTGATGGTAGTGTTCAACATAAAAAGAAACTGGAGGGTGATAAGGAAGATGTAAAGGTGGAGAAACAGTTAACTGAAGCCCAATCGAAAGGTCTCAGTGATTTTATTTCAAAACGTCTTGTGGGTCGTGTGGGTGTTGTTAAGGCAACGACACGTCTTCGCGACAGTCCGGCTGTTATTGCCGATCACGAGTCTGCACAGTTGCGAAAGATTTACCGCATCACTGGCCAAATGTCTGGCCCACCACCCAAATACAATCTACACTTCAACCCCAAACATCCTGTTGTGCGGAAGTTGTACACACTCTCCATCTCGCCAGCCTCTGAGGATGTGGAGACCGCAGGATTACTGGTCGAGCAGATCTTTGATAACGCCATCATCTCCGCCGGACTTCTGGAGGATCCCCGCTCCATCGTCTCACGATTGAATAACATTATGTCCCGCATGGTGGAAAAGGTACCGGAACCCACAGCAGAGAAGTAAACGAATGAGAAAAGAAAGAAAAAGGAAAACACAGGGAGGGGAAATGAAAAGAGGAGGAGAAAAAAAAAAAAGAAATGAAGGAAATGAAAACAAAAAAAAAGGGAAGAAAGGAACAACAACGTGTAATATTGAATATTTAACGTTTTCTTCCTTTATGTTCTTTTTTTTTTATTATTATTATTTTCATTTGTTATTCTTCACAATAATCGATGATACGGAAATTTGATGAGGTTGTAGTTTTCTTTTTTTTCTTTTTTTCCTCTTTGGTTCAATGATTCTCTGCATACGGTTTTTTTTTCTCACTATTACTATTACTACTATTATTTATTATTATTATTATTATTATTATTATTATTATTATTATTATTATTATTATTATTATTTTGTTTGTTGCACGATGCCCCATAAACCGTACACGGAAAAGAAAGAAGGAAAATATGAAGGAATCTCGGGAACACTACACGCACTATTACAGAGAGTGTGTAGTCGTCTGTTTTTTTTTTCCCCCCATTCGGATACAGTTACGTGCAAAACATCGAAGAAAACTGGTTTATTTTTAAACTTTTTCCCCCTCTTTTTCCTTTTTTTTTTTGAGGACTTTGCGTGTATGTGTGTGTTTTGGCTTGTTTTCTTGTTATTTGTTATACATTTTATCATATTTCTGCTTGTCTTTTTCTTTTTCTTCTCTCTCTCTCTCTCTCTATATATATATATATATATATACAATGGGTGCACCTATTTGCCCAGGTGTTGTTGTTATTGTGAAATGGGTGGACACTCTAAGAAACACGGCAAGGGCGGCGGCGGTGGTGGCCGCAATAAAGCGCCGGAGCTGCGAAAGAAACTCACCAAAGACCCGGGCGTGCCAGACCTGAAGAAAGTCGCCCAGAAGTTAACACGCACAGCACAGAAACGTAATCACAGTGTTTTGAGTATTCCCGCCCTGCGAGGGACATCTAATGTTCCTTCCATAGTCTCCAAGGCACTCGCTAGGGAGTCTCTAACGCCTGAGCAAAGTGAAGAAGAACGAAGGGCAGCTGAACGACGAGCCATGACCACACTTGCTATTCAATGTGCAGAGAAAGTACATCACCACGAGACTCCACAACAATGGATGAATGAGATTAATAATAATAATAATAGTATTAATGGAGATGGTGGGGATGAACGTCTTCAGGAAGATGTAGATCGTCGAGGTATGGATAAATCGCTTCGTCGCTTTTATAAAGAATTTCAAAGAGTTGTGGATAACAGTGATGTACTTTTGCAAGTTGTGGATGCTCGTGATCCTATGGGTTGTCGTTTAACACAACTAGAACGTACTATCCGTTCTCAATTTGGTGATGATAGAAAGAAAGTGGTTGTGGTTCTTAATAAGGTAGATCTTCTTCCTTCTAAAGAAGTTGTGGATGCATGGGTACATTTCTTTGAAGAACATGAAGGACTTCCATGTATTCCTTTTACCGCAACTGCAAAAGGAGCAATGGGACATGGTTATGTTAGTAGCATGTTTCGTCGTCTTCGTGCTTTGGCATTAAATGAAGAAACTGGGGCAAGAAAAGCTATTGTGGTAGGTGTTATTGGATATCCAAATGTTGGAAAGAGTTCTGTCATTAATGCCTTAAAACGTAAACATGTAGTTGGAGTTGGTAATATGCCTGGATTTACAACTGGTAATACGGAGGTGGAATTACGTTCAGATATACGTGTAATGGATTGTCCTGGTGTTGTTTCTCCTGGTGAAGATAATGGCGATGTGGTCCTTCGCAATGCTGTAAAGGTTAGTGATTTATCCAATCCTTTCACACCTGTGCAACGATTACTACAGCGGTGTACACAGGTGGATACGGATGATGAATATGGAAAACAACTTCTCTCTTCCGGAGCCCATCCACTCGCTCTTTTTTATAATATTGGTTCCTTTGATCCGAATGATACGATGGCCTTTATTCGACTTGTTGGTCAACGCCGTGGACGTTTACGGCAGGGCGGCGCTGTGGATGAAGAAGGCACCGCCCGAATGATCCTGCAGGATTGGAATGATGGGCGGATTACATACTACACCCTTCCACCTACATCAGACTTACTCGGACGAACTGCAATGACTACAATGGCAGAGGAGGATGAAATGAATGGGGCAGCAAATGCGGAAAATGGATTTTCATGCGGGCCGCAACTCGTTACTTCTGTTACACATGGTTTACAGTGGGAAGGACTTCCAACATTTCATCTCTCATGGCTCAAAAAAGGGTAGATAGAGAAATATATATATATATATATATATAAGAAAGATGAGAGTTCATTTGCGTATTCTCGCCTTTGCTTCCTTTTTTTTTTTGTACGCTATTGTTCCGTCTCGCGTTCAGGAAGTATGATGGGAATCCTACTCGATTAAAAGAAAAAAAAAATAATAGATTTATTTTTAGTGAGAGAAAGTAAAAAAAGAGAGAAGGAGAAAAAAATTATGAATTTTGATACTCGTAGTAGTAAATTTTAATTCCTTTATATATATATATTTACACCAATTCTTTTGTAAAAAGTGTCTATGCATCCGTATACTTATTTCCTTCAGAATACAGACACTCATGTATTTATGTATATATATGCACATATTCTTTCTCCTTTTCATACATTTTTGTCTTCATTTTTCTTGTCATTCGCACAAATATATATATATATGTGTACATGTATATCTTTATTAATCAAAGGAAATTAACAATAAGAATTAAAGGAGTGTAGTAGTTTTCTGTGCTTGGGTGTATATGTTTCATTCTTCTACTGTTACTCCTGCGGCTGTAGTTCAGCGTCGGCAGAAGCCCCAGTGTTCTGTACGTCGTCGATACCGATTAGATGAAGTAGCGGCCTTCATTACTGGCGGTTTATCATCCACTTCCTCCTCTGCCGTATCTTCTTTCCATCGAGTGGCCCTACAGTTCCCGGATGATTTACTGGAAGATTCTATAGCTGTAATGGAAACATTAAAAGAAATTCTTGCCTCAAATAAAACACATAATGGTAAGAACAAAGAAGAAACATCTGCTGATCCTGATAAGGAAGGAAAAGAATGTCATCATAAGGAAGAGGATACAGAAAAGGGAATACGCCTATTTGTAGTGGCGGATAACACATTTGGTTCTTGCTGTCCTGATGAGATTACCGCACAACATTACAATAGTGATTGTATTATTCATTTTGGTGATGCTTGTATGAGTCGATCTACACGTATTCCAGTCTACTACGTCCAGGATGATTTCCACTTCACCGCACTCTCTTATCATCATCCTCCTCCTCCTCCTCCTCATAATAATAATAATAATAATAATAATAATAAAGAGAAATGGGATAATCTCTCTGTGAAGATCGTGGTCCAGGCAGTGGCTCTACTGCAAAAACGTCTTCATACACTGAGCTTATCCCTAAAAGAAGAACACATTCCCTCACGTGTGGTGTTGGTGGTTGTTGGAACTCATCGCTCTCGTAGTCTTGTAGAGAATGCCGCACGTCAATGGAGGAATGAACAAGAAAAGATCTCTACACTTCATCCCTCTTCTTCTATTGGAGAAGATGAGGTTTTGATTGAATGGTGCAAGTTTGAGCCTACGAACTGTGAAGAAGAAAAAGAACAACAACAATCTTTTGAGAAAGAATCAACATGGGTAATGAATGGTGTTCGCTTTTCTCGTACAGATGCCAATACACTTCAACAATTTCTCTTTATCGGACCTTCTAACAGTGTTCTTCCTATACATCTTTTAAATGTGCAGCAGTATAATCTCTTTCATCATCCTGAGGCATTGCGGGATGTTGCATTTGATAGCAATGTCTATGAACAACTAACAATTCTTGATGAATCTTTTCCTCAAAATGATGAATTAGATTTTTCTAATTTAAAAATAGATTCTGCCGCATTAGAAACAGTACTTGAGAAATACTTTTCTCAAAGTGCTAATACTCTAAGAGTGCATCAAACAGCTCTTAATAAACGAATGCGACAACGAGCATTTAATGTTGAACTTATTCGTTCTTGTTCTGCTGTAGGAATTGTTGTGGCCTCTTTGGCTATAGAAGGATATTATGAAGTAACCATGTTACTACATAAACTTCTTCGTGCATATGGTAAACGTTCATATATTATCTACATTGGTCATTTAAATAAATATAAAATTGCCAACTTTGTAGATACAGTGGATTGTTTCGTTTCTATTGCATGCCAAAACAGTCGTGAAGGTTATTTTCCTTCTAAAGAGGATGAATTCTCAAAACCAATCGTTTCACCTATTGAAGTGTTATTAGCCCTACGAACAGAAGACGGCGATTCCCCACTCTTTGGTCATCATGCTGTTTATAGTACCACCTTTGATGCTGTACTTCCTCTTTTACGCGAGGCTGTGGAGTCCGTCGATAAAGAACGGGCAGAAACAAAGAGTTCTACTGTTCATATGCCTGGAGGTGCTGATGGTAGTGGCGCTGCGTTGATTCGAGCGACGGCGGGAACTCTTGCGATTGCGGGAGCGAATGGGGCGTTGGTGCGACTGCACGAGCGGAGTTTTGTTGGACTCGACCCGCAAGTCGGGCAGACGCCTGTGCAGGCGGCGATTGTGGAGGGCCGGCACGGAATAGCCCGCGGTTACGCCTCAGAGAGAAGCCGACAGCAAGGAGAAGATGGAGGAGAAGAAGATAAAGGAAAAGAAGAATAAGGATGGAGAGGAATTGATATTGTTGTTTTTTTTTTTTATTTATTTTGTTTGTCGGTGCTCTTCGAGTAAAATGGAGTATCTTCGTTTAATTTGTTGATATTCACAGAAGAATAAAGTTCTTTGTTTTTTTTTTAAATGAGAAATAAAGAAAAAAAAAAAAAGAAAAAAACTCCTTTTTCTTATTTGTACACTTGATTTATATGAAATTTAACGTTTTTAATGTGTATCTGTGTTTCTTTTTTTCCCTTTTACATTCCACCCCACTCCCTTTTTTTTTTTCTTTTCTTTCTTGTTATTATTGTAAAAATACTATTTTTTTTTTTAATTTTTATTAGTATTATTTATTTATTTATTTATTCATTATTATATTACCCTTTATGTTTTGGTATTTATGAAATGCGAACATTGTTCACGATATTAGATGTATCCCTCTCGGCATCCGGTGCAATTCGCACTGGAGATATGATTGGCGGTCCGTATGGCCCATCAGCAACAGTGATGATAACGGAAAATAATTCCACTACAGAGCCTCGCCTCGCTGAAGGTGCAGATCCCGCTGTGTTAACACGAACAACAACTTGCACGAACTGTGGAGTAGAGGGAAGTGATTTATATTTTTGTCCATGTTATCAGGCACAGTACTGCAGTACGGAGTGTCAATCCGTTCACTGGGCATCACACAAACAGAACTGTGGACATGGGCGAAGGAAACCGCAGTTAGCACTATTATCATGTACGTATTGTAATCATAAATCATATACACTACGAAGATGTCCATGTGGGTATGCCCTCTATTGTGATAGAAAGTGTCAAATTGATGATTGGCCACATCATGAAGGTATTTGTACTGGATCTGGTATATTAAAAACAAATTCTTTTACACATTCTTTAAAACGAGTAGATGTTGGAGTTCAAACCCAAAATGATGCGGCATCTCCAGCTGTTAGTTCTAGTGTGAATGGTATAATACCATTGCGGAATAATTCCACATCCCGTACTGGGGGAATTCGCATTGCTCATTTCTCTGAACGGATCACAGATACGGAAGATGGACATCGTGCTGAAAGTATTGCAACCGTTCCAAATGGTAGTGTTGGTGTGAGTAACAGTTGTTTATTTCAACCGAATCGTTCTAACGAAGCATTACGGGCTCCATTGAAGATATTAATGGATAGTACCACACATCCATTTCCCCGTGAGGGACAACCGGACTCTAGTTTTATTGACTTTGATCGAGTTGACTGCGAAAGTGAGGTGAGTACAGATCGGGAAGGAAGTAGTAACAATGGAGGATCTTTACGTCCAAAAGAGGATCATCACACACGTAAACGTAGTTTGGGAGATCCGCATAGATCAATCGTATTTGGCAATAATTTTCCCATTAATAGTAGTAATAGTAATAATAATCCTCTACATGATTCTGCAACGTTGGTGGAAAACCCATTGATTGTGGTTCCTATTCGAACCACCTTTGATACACTACCAGGACTAGCAAATTATCTCGCCAGTCAAAACAAAGACAATGGGACTATTGTAGTTTTAGCTTCATTTGCAAATTCCATCGCAGAAGAGACCGCAGCACGGCGGGAAATTAGTCAAGCAAATAAACGAGAATGGGCGGAGATTATGCGGCGCTTTGTACTCGGTCGTGTACGAATTGCCCTTTCAGAAATGAACGCAGAGGAGGAGAAGTATCGAAAAGAGATATTAACAGATTCCATTCTTTGGCGTCGTAAAATAGCTTACCCTGCCTATAAGGATCTTCAGAGGATGCTGATAAAGCTCTATTATCGTCAGTAAAACAAACTTACTGTTTTGATGATGATGATGATTATTATTATTTTTATTTTTTTCATACGTCTGTGTCCGTATATTGAGGGGCGAGACTTGCTTTCTAGTGCCTATAATGTCAGTTTTTCTTCTTTATTTTTGAATTATTATTTTTTTTTTTTTGAGGTTTCTCTTCATATATATATATATATATATATATATATATTTTTTTTCTGCATTGGTATCTATTTGTTTAGACAATGTATTCTTTTTTATTTTTATTTTTTTAAATTTTTCTCTGTATTTCTTTACTCTCTTCTTACTCTTCTGTGGGTTAATATATATTTATTTATTTATTTGTTGGGTGGGGGTTTGATACTTATAGGTGTTCTCAGAGGAATATATTGAACGGTGCCTCTGATATTGTGTACTGAAGCTGTGTGAGTAAACTACAAAAGAAAGAGGAAAATACAAGCAATCACAAACACAGAGAAAGAGACACTATAAATAAATAGAAAGGGGAGATCATAAGAAAAAGATCAAAAGAAAAATAAAAAAAAAAGAAAAAAGAGGGGTTACTAATTGAGTAAATCATTTTGCAAGAAAGTAGTATACATTAAAAAATAAAAAAATAAAAATAAAAACTAAAACAACCATCAATGTTAAGGGATACGTGGCTCTTATCAGATCTTGACGGCACACTTATATCCACACCGCACAAGGCATGTGGTCAATACTTATCGCTTGCTCAGAGTCCCTGTGTACATGTACTGCGACGCTGGTTGTTGAATGGCGGTAATGTATGCATTATCACTACCGCCGATATGCGGGTATTACAACAGGTATATGCCCCACTGCGATCTATACTAAAAGATGATGAGAATAGTAATAACAACAATAACAATAACTGTGGGGAGTTGTTGTTGAGTCTCTACACCGGCGCTGTTTTATATCGATGTACGGCGAAGGGAGTGGAGTTGGTGCGTGAATATGCAGAAGCAACACACTGCGCTACTGCAGAGTCTGTGGAAGTTGCCAAACGTTACGGTTTGCCATTGAAGGAATCTCCTATGATAAGTGTTTGCCCAATGGGTATACGGACAACAACTCAAGTGGCATGTGTGGAGGGGACATGTTTCTCCGCAAAGACATGCAGAGAGTTGTTAATTCATGTGGAAAATATTTTTCTTGGTGTTGTGAAGGCAATACTAAAGAAGGATAAAGAAGTTGTAAAAGCATTTACTTTCATGTCAGCCCGTTATAAGGAAATGTGGCGTATTTTACTTCACTATCTTGATGTGCGGTATAAACAAGATCAACAAGAACATCAACACAATCGCTCTGTTGATGATACTATTTCAGAAAAGACAACTTCCACCACAAATGCAGTCGAGTGGAAATGTAAGTTTCTGCAACAGCGACGACAGCTTCTTAGGGCGGTGGGTATTGTTCGCGTTGAGCTTGTGGACACCAAACGGATGATATGTGAGATTGAGGGATACTGTACTGCAGATAAGAATGCAAAAGAAATTAAATCCACTGTTTTACGTATACTCGGAGATGAATCGAAGGATTCCTCTATCTTTGCAGAACAAATAACTCGTCTGCTTGGGGCTGAACCCTATGATGATGATTATGATAATAATAATAATAATAATAATAATAATACTATAGGTAATAGCGACAGTAATAGTGATAGAGATTCTCAGGTTGGTGTTGTTGCACAAGTAATGGTGCTTGGTATTCCAATAAAACTCTTTTCACGATTCTTTAAACCTCATCTGGAGTCATTTGCTGCTCTCGGCGTTACCGCAATTCCACAGCCGAATAGTGTTGTCTTTTCAAAGATGGGTATCTGCAAGTCTACCATTATCCGTTACCTCATCAAACAACAACAACAACAACAACAGCAGCAGCAGCAAGAGAAGGAGAATAAAATGAAAATGTATGATGAGAGAGAAAACTGCTGCAGTCCGCATGATGGCAAAGCGCCTCGTTTCTGCGGTGCTGTTGACATTACGCGGGCGGTCGCACTTGGCGACAATCCACACACCACCGACTTTGAACTCACTGTCTTCCCTCAACTGCCATTTATATCGGTTGAGGTCGATGGGCAGCGACGGCGACGGCACGCTCGCATTGATGCCCTCCCAATAAAAGGGAAATCGCAACAACGTCGAGGTTCCACAATGGATGATCGTCGTTTGGTGAATTTACAATATATTGGCGGTGAGGAGAATGGCACTGCGGTGTTTTTGGATCTTCTGATGAATATTCTCTGTGTGCCCTCCACCATCTCATCATTGGCGGCGGGTGGGAAGAAGTCAGAAGTGAGGTGTAAACCCCCAGCGACGTTTGGGGCGGCGGTGGCGAAGGCTTCGCAGATGACGCGTGGGGCGGTGTGTGATGTTTCCTCGCATTTATAAAAGAAAAAAGAAAAAAGAAAAAAAAATGGATAAACTCCGTATTTGCAGACATGGCAAAACTGTGTTTCTTTTATGGGTTTATTTCAACAAAAGTAAAAAGAAAATAATAATAGAGTTTATGCTATTGGTATGCTTTTTGTTTTTGTTTTTGTTTTTTCTTTTCCTTCTTCTTTTTGCTCTTTCACATACTCTTTGTACTTTTACTTTGCATTTATTTTACTTGTGGGTTTTTTTTTTTTTTTTTTGCCCGTGTGTTGATTCTGCGCAGGATCACAGTGGGTGGTGAATGTGTTCTTTCCAACGCGGAGTCAGATGGTACGGAAAAGGAAATAAATCCATTGTAATAGTGTGAGATATCACCATCATGGATGATGATGATGATGATGGGAAGAAGAAATAATAAGATATATATATATATATATATATATATAAGAGCAAAAAACAAGTCTCAAACTAATAAGAAGGAAGCAGTAACAAAATTTTTTTGGTGAAGAACACAACAAAAAAAAAAAAAAAA